GGATCTGCGGTGTACTGGTTCATACGTCTAGCATACAATCATCGCTGTACCTCGGGTTTGAGTTCCAGCTTACGCTTGGATTTTAGTGCCGCTTTACCGTATCTGGCCAGCACACCACGATATGTGATTGCGCAACAGCCAAGTATATGTACAAAGTAGTGGTGTAGCACTGAGATACCGCAATCGTCCCACGCATTCGACATACGAAAGCGACTTGGTAGTTCAGAAAACACAACTCCGGCACAGAAGACTGAACAGGTCCAACACGTTGCTACCACGCTCATCTCCAATTTACGAGATTTACCGTATGAGAACATGTGCAAGAGGCTTGGATCATATCCTGCCATTGGTTGCGAGTCTACCACTTTATGACCTACTGCGCATACTGTATCTAGATGAATTTCCCATATTGAAGCCAATGTTCCGCTTGCGAACACATTACATTACACGCGGGCCATGGTACAACACCTTGTGGTTTTAGATGTAAAACTAGTTCCGCATCGCCTGTGTTTTGAAAGGAAAGTGGTCAATTTTCTGTACGGAACAAACAGTGGAAGCAAATCCGGTGCAGCAGTTCAAAACAATCTGTTGGATGTACACACTTCTCCAGTGTTCCATAACCAAGAAGGAGAATACCCATTGACATTGGGCGAGTCAAACTAAATGTGAATTATACGTTTTGTTACGATATCACATGAGAACTTAAAAAATGATCAGTGTTGAAATGTCATAGATGGTTTTGCGCTGTTTCTAGTGTACTGATCATCCTTTGATGGAGTTGCACTTATTTAGAACTCTAGATGTTTCCATAATACAGGAGTGAGTAAAAAAGGAAGATGAGGGCCGGTGTTCAAAAGTAGATCCTATCCCAAGGACGTTAATCACACCCAAGATATATGGGCCCTTGGTATGCGAATAAGGTAGGTTTATAATCAAGCAAAATGTAGTGCAGTCGAACCCGATTTATTGCCCACCATCGGGATATTTCAAAGTGGGGCAAAAAGGCGGGGTGAGTAATTATTAAGCGAGATTGCCATTTTCTCAAAATGAAAACAACCATTGAATTAGTGTAACGTACTAAAAAGGATAAAATATGTACCTGTAACGAAAGCCTTCAAAATAGGTTTATTCAGAAGAGTATGGACTATAAGTTAAAAGTCATAATATAAAGCATCTTACCAGGATAGCTAGAAAAACTGGCGCTACTGTATATTTTTGCTGAGTAAACAATCCAACATCCGTTGTACATTATTTTGAACTGCTACTCCAGTCACTTTTGCATTGATGAAGTTCAATTTGAAGAAGAAATCATTGCCTAGACCATGCAAAAGTCCGTAGCTATACAGACCATTCACGCTGTTCTCTGCTCCTGAAAGCGACATGAGTGGCTTGCTTTTACTCCCGGAGACATCCGGTACGTCCTCCTCTGAGTCGCTGCTTTCTTTCCGTTCGAATACATTCCACATCGTTGTCAATGGGGAAGAACTCTTCTGCACTGATGACTGGGATTGTACAAGCGCTGATCTCGCCCTTAGCGATGATGCCGTCATCAGAAAGTGCATCGGATGCCAGTCGGCTGAAGTCAGCTCGCCGAAAGTAAGACTTTATTGTTGCACCGGTAGCCTATCACCAACTTTTTGAAACGGACTGAATTGTCTCTAGCGCAGAACTTTTGCCGCTGATATCCACCGCCGATGATGTGCCAGATGACAGGTTTTTTGATGTGATAAAGAATTCGGTCCACAATTTCCCTTTTGTAACGGATTCTCAGATTCATAATCACCCTGGTCCATGGATCGTGTTTGACGGCAAAAATTCCATTTGAAGGTTTTCCAGACTTTCTGCCTGTGGATGCGCTGTGCAGTTATATAAGAGCAACAAAATTTCTCGACCACTTTGGCTTAGTTCCTTGTCCCATTTGAGGACTCAATCGGTGAAAAGTTCTTTCGTCATCCACGCATTTTTGTTAGCTCTATAAGTTACGGGAAGTGTAGCTACGTTCACGAGATTAAAACATGGTGGTTTCCCATTTTTTACAATCAGAACCAGTTTTCTTCTATCCGTGCCTGACATATTCGCGCAGCACAGGAGAGTGATCCTATCCATGGCTTTTCGATTCACTGATCATGTCGGCAGAAAAACACAAAGATCATTCTGGAGTTGCTCAGTAAAGAAGATCTGATTCGTCTGCAATGTACAAGTTGTTATGACCAAATGCATATAAAAATTAAGGCAGTCGATCTTTCAGCCAATTTTCACAGACTGCTCTGTCCGCGGAACGCTATTCGAGGAGCGCATGTTTATACACAATTTGATTTCTATTCTTGCATCTTTGCAATCATCTTTCCGTGACAGCAAGGGATTTTTCAAGTCTTTCCTAGAATTCCTGACATTTTCTTCATAAGTGGGCCTGCAACTGTTTGGTTGTACTCACGAAGCGATATGCTCGTCTTTCAATGCAGTTTCAACTTCTTCATCTTTTCCATTCTTTCCTGAGAGCATGCAGTACCCTGCGACAAATTCTGCAGGAGTTCCTTTTCGCTGGCAATCAACCTGGTTAGGGTACAACGTGAAATGTGTAAATCACGCGACAACTCGGCCTCCGAGGTTCATGATGGATAAGCTTTAGTCTAGTACAAAACGTCCAACTTTTCTGTCAAAAACAAATTCATTCTATTACTGGCCATACATGTGTGTAACCAATGGAGCATTGACATATATGGAGCGGAAAGTGTATCCGACTTTGCTCAGTTCACAAGTTTTGAACAGGGTCGAGGGCTTGCCCACAGCCATCTGTAAACTTAATTTGCTCGTATAGTAAATGGGGTAGGTAGCCATTTCTGATCTGCCAATAACATCGCCAACATCTCTGTTGTTCTTGAGTCGATCGGACTGGCTAACTGTGGGGCAATCTTAATGAAAGAGAGCCGGAGCGAGGGCGTAAAATTGGCAAAGGGACAAGAGCACAGCCCACACAGCAGGGCAATTAAGCGGTGGGACGACCCGGGCAATCGGCAATGAGACGGTGAACATTTAGCATATTCATAAGAAAAGATTTTGTATTTGGAAAATCTGAGCAATAATGTGGGGTGGACTATAAACCGGGTACACAATAAAGCGGCTTCGACTGTATTTTCAAAGAATGTGGATTATCAAAAATGGTGAAGAGAGCCCCAGATTCGACAGCCCAAACTCTGTAGAAATACTTATTGGTATGCCAATGCGTATCGTTGCATGTTTCACTGTGCTCTCTGCGCATACAACACTGTTGTGATAATGGACCGCCTTACCATCAATTAGCAATGCACAGATCAACCACCGCTCGAAGTGCCCGATTCGTTTCAGCCCGGTTAACCAACTGTGATTCGGGCACCGAAATGCTGCAGATGTGGGTGCCACGAATCGTTTCGTCAGGATGACAGAAATTAGAAGGCTAAGTAGAATGAAGGAGAACGTAGGGGGTTGGAAGAAGTGTATAAAAGTAATCGCGTCGGAGCAAGTCCTTGTCCGAAAGGATCACAAGCCTGTCTTGTAGTCTGGAGATCGCGAGCTCGAGCCTATGTACGGGACCGGACAACCCTCGCAGTATCCGCAGCCCCAGCGCAATTGGTAGTGGTTGCGTGGCAGCAAAGAATTAGTACTGCATACCGGTGTACCACTGGCACCTGAAGATAGATGTATGATGTTGCCTACCCGAAAATACTGCACTCCACGAAGTGGCGTATGAGTCACCATCTCCAATCCGTGTTCACACCATCATCGACCGTGTGCGCTTGTCCGTCTATCGAGTATCCACTCACAAGTGGTTGGCTTCAGTTACTGTATCGATGTTCTGTAAAGTTTCTGGCCAGAATACACGTTTGCCTGCTGCTAGCTGGTTGTGTTCCGTTGTCTCTATGTTGTTCGGCTACGAGCCGTTATTTCGTTCGCAGGCTAACGTTAGTTCCGTACGTGTAGAACTTATTGGATCTCGTGAGGTAGATATAGCAGGCATCGAACCCAATGATGAGATCGAGTAAGTTCGAAACCCGTCATGGACTGCAGTGTTTTCGGACGGGTAACATCCATTTTCTCTCCAATTCACCAGTTACGGCCCCAGTGATCGAGATGACCAAGATTCACTGCATTACGAATCGTGTCGCAACGCATTTATACGAGTGCTTCAAGATGACTCTCCAATAGATTCGGACGGAAGTATAAAGGTTAGATGACGAATGCAGGGGCGCAGTTGATTCTGCGGTCGTACCAATGCCGGATGAGGTGTCCAAATACTGATGTGACCTATCTCGAACCCCTCAACCAGAAACGCCGCACGTACCAACCTGACCAGATTTCTCCGTCATACCTTGGCACCACGTTACTGATCGGCCGCCTCGAGGGTTATCTATCGGGAAAAATGTGTTAGCAGTGGTGGCGCAACACCGGAACAACGCACGAGCTAATAGGACTGGTGTGGCTTCTAAAAAGACAAATCGCTTATGGAGAAGGTGGCATGTAAGTCTGGTGACTAAGGAAAGAGTCTATAACAGTGTGGTAAGAGCAGTGTTAGGGAGAGACTAAGGAACCGGTCGCTGGTTGCTGGGGAGTAAGGAAACTAGCCGTGCTTGCCTAAGTACGGCTACGAAGTAGCGCATATGTCTACGGGGGCATCGAAGGAACAACAATGAGGTCCATCTATTGGCAGATCGGAAAACTTGTAGTTCGGATTAGTAGTTGAGCTGGTGACTGGTTCTCCGATATCGGTACATGATTGCAGATGGTTCCCCAACAACCGAGATGGCATCAGCAGCGTAAAAACGTATAGCAAATTAGCAGATACTGATACTCAAGTAAATGTAGAGACGGATTAGAACAGCAAAATCTCAGGCCCATTTGACAGTTGGCAACGGACCCTTTGAACGCGGTCGCATGGTAGCGAATTTTTAGCAGAACGCATTGGAAAACGGGGGAAAAAGGAATCAAAAGTATCTATCGAAAAAAAACGAAGGGGTGGAACTTACGCCACTTCACCGGAATTCGCTGAGCGACAAATCGGCCCACGAGCACCGCCACGCCAGTGCAGAGAGCGTGACCCAAAACACTACCCACGATGACACCGGCGACGCTCTGAACGAAGTGAAACGGAACAAATAATGGGAAATAAAACAAACGAAGAGGAAGTGACATAGATGCTATGTTTCACAACCGGTGGAAATTTATAGCAGAGGTTCCGCAACGTTGCAAATATCGTAGGAAGTGAGAGAAAAAATCAAAATTACGACAGGGTAGTCGAGCTGGAGAGACCGTCTAATGAGGCCAATCGGTTCGGTAAAGTTAGAGTTGTCACAAATTTGGAAACATTAAACTCGGACGCCGTGTATACACGGAAGAACCTAGCTGAACATCCGGTCTAATAGTTTACAAATAATACCTGTTACCGAACACTAACGGGACATCACCCATTCAGTGCGGCCAAAAGATACGATCGAAATTTAGCAGATTTTGGCAGCTCAGCTGATCAACTATGATCTGAGCATCGAAGTGCAGTGGATCCAGTTATCACGACTTGCATCGCAAGAATAACAATAAATAACACTGATAAGATAATGGGGTTAAAGGCAAATAGAGTGAAAAAAGTGGAAGCACGAAGGAAGGGCGTTGAACTGACCAGAATGGAAGGGAAATTAACAACTAGATGCAAGAAACCATTAGTGTGGATCATCCCGAGGCGCGCATTAACGAAGACTGCACGCATCTGCCTGACCAAGTTTCTTAGTAAATTTCTTCATGTCATTATGCTACGTCGTGAACTGGCCACCTCGCGGTTTCGCCAAACTTGGTACAATCAGGTCGTATAATGCACGCTGATGAAACCGGTTAACGGGCATACGGCGGTTAACCCCAACCAATAGTAGGAGCACCAGCATCACGCCGGTACGAAGTACCGACGCTTCGCTATCTCATAACCATCAGGTCGCGCCTGGGATGAGAATACTGAGAGGGTCGCCCGGTCCTCTACGTAGGGTCGAACCCGCGATCGCCGGATTATAAGGCAGGCGTGTGATCCTTAAGTCCACATGATCCATTCAATAACGTTGACCGTAGTCTTCACAAAAGAATAGAAATACAAGGATCACACCTACATTCGTGGAGATATATTCGATGATACAACAATCAGTGGCGATAATGGTACCCAGTTAGGGAAACCGATGGATCACGCCGGGTGACTGTTCGATTAATGAGCAGTGGTGAAACATCAAGCAACCCGTCAGCTAATGCGTTGCAGTATGCTAAGTCGTATAAACCGCACATCGGCGCTAGTAGTAAGAAAATAACACATAACGCTGGCGTCCGGCTGAAATCTTCTCCTTTCCCAAGCCTAGAGAAATGGAAAACCATTGACACTGCCTGAATCGTGGTCTGATTTGGTAAGTAGCATCGAAGTTTGGTGAATCGCAGGAAAGGAGAAAGTGAGCGCCTCGAGGCCGTGCACGGATATAGACGAAACGTAGGTGCGGGCACCCAGATTCGCTGATATTTCAGTGAAATGCACAGTCGATCGTCACTACGTGAGGCAGTGGGAACGTTTGTGTTGTGCTTGCGCTCCATCGCATTTTGTACCAGGTTTTGTAATCCTGACGATGCCAGTCGTAGAAACTGGACCCCTTGCACATCGGTGTCCTGAGCATAGTTGTAGCCGCAATGATCTTGGGTTGTAAATCTGTGGTGCTACGAAGGTTGTGGTCGATACACAGATTAAAAAATCGATCGTCATTTTCTGCCCGGTGGGTGTCGACCGCGAAATCGTCACTGGGCATCGTTCCGAGTCAACAGAAACGATCATTATGTTCTAACTGGAATTCTTGGTGACTGTTGACACGAGTATTAGTTCCCATAGCCTGCATCTGACACCACACCGACTGCGTGACTTGATGGCGATTCGGCGTAGTAGAATTGAGTCGAGTAGATTGTCCCATAAAAGCTTGACTGCTGGTTGCATAGCCCTCTGATAGCCAGCCCGTGGCCTTAAGAATCAGAAGCCTGTCCTGTAATCTGAGGGCGCGGGCTTGAGCAACTCTCGCAGTACCCTTAGTCCACATGCGACCGGCGGTGGTTGCGAAGCACCAAAGCGCCGGTACACAGTACCGGCGTAATGCTGATACCGAGAGTCAAAACGAAGTCTGAGCGGCGATGAACAAGCTGGTATTTATGAACACTAGGCTTGAAGTGTCATCCCAATGCAGCGCCATTTCGCTGACTAGTTCCCATTGTCAAGTCTTACGCCAGCTGCTTAAGTTCAGTGATTACCTTCCGTTGTTTGCCAGCACTTTCGAAGATGGCGTTTCTAGCTAAAGGAATGAGCATCTTTGAGGTTAAAGAAGTAGCCCAAGCAGGATGGGGGTAGTCGCATCGGCATAGTCTGCAGAGAATCCAGTACTCTAAACCAGCCGAGGATCTTGCGCTGATGTGTACAGACTATAGCTGAGGGTCATGTGGACAATCTGGGACCAAAGAAGCCTGTTGTCCGATAGCCACCATGTGCTCTGAAGTTAAGGATAGCGTTGAAAGGCTATATGCCCGATAAAGGGATTATGACTAGCGCACAACCGAAGAACTCGATCATCATTGTTAGGATGACGGACATAGACTTGCAAACGGATTCCGAAGGGATGTCGCAACTCGGATAGACAACAGACCAGCAATGGTAATGATGTCCGGGCTTTGGGTCATTCGAACAAGAGACGAAAGCTGACTGCTGAATTCATTTTGACGGATTCTAGGACTCAGTCGGTAGAAGGTAGGGTGGAGCACCGAAGTCGAATAGTTCACGTGAGCCGTTCAGTTATATTTAATCTAGAGGGCATGCCCGCAAACGACTATTGGGAGTGAAATCCCGGCGTACATGCTGACAGCGATTGATGTGGCAACACGGGAGAAGTAAAATTTCCCAATTTCGTTGACATGAATAGGCCAAAAATCAGTTAAGAGTTCTTTTCGTTGAACTCTCCTCAGACCAAAACGTTTACATAACGGTGATTGTGTGGGGAAAGAGTCAAATCGCGCTGGGACTGTTTTCTAAGCTGCTTGAATGGTTGGACAACATGCTTGATCCGGTGAGAAAAGTCATGACAAAACATACTTTGTTAAACGCTTTCGAATTATTTCTCATTTGGAAAGAATAAACTTGACTCGAAAGGGAGTTGTGTTCGCCTGATGTGCAGTCGCTATTCACTAAGGTTCCGATGGAGGAAACCGTGGATCACTTAGGTGAATTTATCGCGTGAAACAATATCAAACTAAGGCTTCCTACGAAAATCCTGAAGCACATGTTTCTTTTGTGTACGAAGAACGTCAAATTTCACTATTAAGAGAGAGCGTATAGGCAAAGAGACAGTGTGGCTATGGGTAGTCCATTGGGTTCTTTGCTCGCAGTTGCATTCATGAGCACAGATTGAAAGAAAGCGCGAGGAGATAATAAGATCGGCGACGTTGTACAAACCATATGTGGATGAGACACTTCTAGTCGTGGATCCAGATGATGACATTGTGCAGACAACACCTACACTAAACCGTATGCACCCAGACCCTACTGTAATCTGTGTGGCTGAAAACAATCACCGCCTCCCACACCTCGACGTTTTGCTCATATGAAGGCGGGATGGATCCATAAAGCGGTCAGTATACCGGAAAGCAACCTGGACGGGCCAATACCTACATTTTAAAGACTTCTCACCAATACAACATAAACGTTCTCTGGTCCGGACATTGTTCCATCGAGCCAAACTAATTTGTACGCCGGACACACTTGAAGTAGAAAGGGATTTTCTGTTCGACACGTTGCAATCCAATGGTTACCCTTTACATTTCAAAATGCGCGTCCGTGACAAGACGAAGCGGAAACCAATGTGGACTGCGTAGAAGAAGCCGGTTATCATTGATCTGCCGTTCAAATGTAAACACATTATGAAAGTCACTACGAAACGGATAAGTGCCTATTTGAAAAAAAGCGTATACTGCGGCAGAGTTACGGTTGCTTACATCGACAAAACCATTGCTTATGTGCTCTTCTGAAATTTCTGGATTTATAAAGAGCTTCTTGTTTCAAAATCGATGACTTACGACAGCTATAGATGGTAAGTAAAGTGAACTAAAGGAACATTAATACATAAATCACTGTAGTCCAAAGTAACAACTGAATAAGGAAGTAACAAGGCCAGTTGGCCACGATAGTAGTATCGGCCGTGTGAATTGATTTTGGATACATAATACTGGCTTCAGATTGTGGATGTAAATAGCTTCGGCAATAGACAATAGTTGCTTAAGGAATCCTTGTGAGAAGGGTTCAGGTAGTGAGTAGATGGTTTTGAAGTCATTCTCGGAGGCTTAATGGCCACAGCCAAGGAGGTGCGACATGATTGAGTTGTTTGAAGACCTCATTTCGCTTTTGTAATACTACGCAGGGATGTGCTCGCGAATCCTTTGTGATAGGCGTCTCGTAGTGCGATCCACGTATCGTGTACCACAAGAGCACGAGTACTGATAAACAAGCAATGAACAGGTTAACAAGAGCAGTCTATGTAGGTATTAGGTATTGACCGTGCAAACAGCTGAGGAAACAATCCCAGTCCGATTTGACATTTTCCATACACAATTAGTGCTATGTAAACGTTTGGGTCTGAGGAGTTTACCGAAAAGTATTCTTAACTTTGTATTGGTTTCTGGTCTTGAACCATATTAATGAAATGGGGGTATTTGGTTTGCTGAAGAATAGCATTGCTTGTGATTCGCTGAAGCGAAATGTGTAGACTTTATCGGCTGAACCGGAGCAAGGCAAGTGCATATGAAGCAAGACTTGGTTATCCTGTATGCATGCTTCGGAGACACAACATTCACACCTATAGAAATTGAATTCATAGCTAGCCTACACTTCATTGGCCTAGTGTTGGTTTCATTCGCACTCTGTCTAGGCAGCCTCGGTTCGTTAGCGTGCGTGATTCCGCTCACTGTCATCCGGATAAGTCCGCCTAAAGTTGGTTTGCAGACAAGAGGTGCCTTTTTATATCCGATCAGGATAGAAAATACAACCCAATCTGGACGTGTTCCACTCTAACCTAAATTCATACAGGTTATCACCGCTTAGATATTTTCGGACCATTTTATGAAAATGAACAAGACAGACTCCCACCAGACCTCTTCAAATTTGGGGGATTTGCTCTTGCCGACGCGTAGCCATGTGATCTGAGGACGCGGGTTCGAGCCTGCATAAGGAGTAGGCGACCCACGCAGTATCCTCAGTCCAAATAAAAACGGTAGTAGTAGCGCGGCATGAGATCATCGGTACTGCGTACCGGCGTACTGCTGATGAATTTCGTGAATATGTAGAAAAACGAGACTACTCCTGTAGACAGGAGCCGCTCCATTATAGTCCCAATTTTCAAGAAAGGCTCGCGTTCGTATTGTGACAATCAAAGTGAGACCAGTCTGATCTCAATTCCCTCTAAGTTGCGTACCGCTGCCGTGCACCATAGAATGAGTGGCACTCGTGAAAGTCGAATTCGTGAGGAGCAGACAGGATTTAGCCGCAATTGAGGCTGTATTTATTACACCTTTGCATACTGTTGGGTCTCATATATATATATATATATATATATATATATATATATATTGGCGATCCATTGTAATCGTGTTCCTCAATATCAACGGTGTCTTCAATTGGGTGGATCGATATACCTTTCGGAGCTGTCTACTCAGGAATGGTGTGCCTGAGAAATACATAAACATTATCAGAGCGAGGTACGAGCATAGTGAGGGCAGAATGAGGGCTAGTGGAGAGCTGTCGCCACCCCTTAACATCTCCAGTGGTGTGAGACAAGATTCCACGTTGTCACATTTCCTTTTTAACTTCCCTATCGATGAAGTCATGGAAATGGGATTCACTGAATATGACTGAGGTGTGGAGCCGCTTCTAGGCAAGCGACTTCTTGATTTACTGTAGGCCAACAACATTGCCCTTATCTGTTTCAGCTCACAAACGTACCATGTCGCACTGTACAAATTAGCGTTGGCTGTCAATCGTTTCAGAACATGCTTTGCACCCTCGGAATGTAAAGTTCTCCTCCAAGATTGGCACGGACCACCCACCCTTTAGTGGGGATCAGGTAGTCGTCCAGAAATACATGTACCTTGACAGCTATATTAGCACCGATGGAAGAGTAGATGAGATCGCAAACCGTATAGCAAAAAGCCGAGGTGCTTTATCAAATCGTCGCTACTTGTGGCGTCGGCGCCACAGAGTACAAAGAAACGGTTGAACAAAATTGATCGGGTCCTTAGTAGTTGAGTGCATGTAGACAGAACATAAGAGAATCATTGACTTTGTGGCTGTGCAGAATTGAACAAATGCACCATTGTGGTAGATCACGGGGAAGCGTTTAGGTAGACGGTACGCACTAGCCTGACCGAGTCTTGAAATCAATCTCTTCATGCCCTAGCGTCATGGTAACACACCATACCTACGCTTCACCACTAAGCGACAACCACCAAAAGCGTGTGGGCTAGCGACACCGTGTGGTAGTCCGCAAATGCGTAGATCCAATACAGGAAGCTTGGACAACAAACAAGTGGGGCCCTTATATCGGCCGGTTCTTTCATTGAACATCATATTTACTTGAGCTACTGTCGATTTATGTTTCGTAGAAATATTTTGAAAACTGCTTTGCTCCGAATACCTCCAATCTCACCAAGATCATCTTACACACAATGTTTTGAATACCAAATCGAAATACCGCGCAGTATTCGCGATTTGTTGCTTCCGGCCATGAACTTCTAGGCTATTTAAAAGCAAGTATGAAGATATGTCTTCACAAAACTTCTCCGAGGGACGCTGATTATCGATTTGTGCTTAGTGCTCAAGAATGCGGGCCCTTAAACTTGAGTAACATTAGTGCACTCATTTCTCCTTTCCTCAGTTATTGATAAAATTCTAAATTTTTGAAAATGTCATTTTACCCCATGATGCTTTAAATTGCTGAAAATGCATCCATCTGAGCACATAAAGCTTACCTTGACACGACTTGACTTATACCGCCAGTTGGCCAGCAGATGTTCGGTGACAAATATAACCGATGGGATGTCGGTCTAATATTGCAACAGTATATGGCATCTTGAAAGTGCCAACGACATATCGAAATCTGTGGCGTCCTGTACCATTTCATTCAGAAGCGATTGTAAGCAGGCTAAGTTCAAATTTCCGAAGTTTTATAGCCACGTGCAAGCAAGGTTTTATTCCAAAAGAGAGTGAAACGACAGTGCTTTACGATCAGTTCGATGCAGAGTTGAAGAGTTTGGGAGAAACGGAATGCACCCTATTTGCAATAGAAAAGTCAAGAGAGTGGTTTCTCTAAACTGATGTTAGACATGGGGAAATGATGTATGTAGAGTCCAGCGTCGTTTTCATAGCGAGCCCTTTAAGGATGAATATGCTGATACAATCAAATGAGTTGACGCCATCCAAGTCAAGGATGGCTATCACTGTCGTGAGCCATCATCATGTATCCCGATTGTATAGCGTACGACAGAGTGCAAAAACAGACGATGCACGAAGGTAGCTTGGATATTGCCACTCGGTTCTCAGACGAGCCGATGGGTTGACAAAAAATGGTGCCCGACGAAGATTCGACAGTAAGTTTACTACTTTGTACAGATAGGGATGAGGATTGACAATCGTCATCCAAAAGTCATGTTAAGTGTTCCCTGAAAAGAGCGGCTAAACCGTCCACGATCCACTAACGACAGAGTAGGGTCGTTGAGTTCACGTTGGTTGCAGAGCAGTGACAGCTCATATCAGGCTTGACATCAACGACCAGCTGAAGTTCAAAAAATTCGGCAAATAGCAGTATCATACCGTCGCTACAAGACCGGACTCCATCGCGACGAGACTTGACCGATCGCTACGAGACTGGATCTTAACGTGATGTGAGGGTTTGTGTACCCCAATGATCCATTGAGCTATACTGGGTGGTGCATTTTTGCACCTTCAGAGCCACTCATACCAGATTGGTCAATGGTTAGAGGCGAGACAAACTCAGCCTCCTGGTCCTCTAGGTTAAGGGTTGGCTTCTTACACCATAAAACGGGCTCTCTGTAGTCCAGTGTCAAAACCCCGCTGCTTTGTGGTAAGGTTTTTGAACCAAAAGCTTTGGTTGAGAACCCTAATCGTTCTCCTGTCTAGGCCTGGGCAACGTGACAGTATTCTGTCCACGCAATACAATAAGCCTTTCGTCTGAAATTTCTTGATGCTTTAGCCGTCGCAGAGGATAGTCAACGGCGCCCTATCTGCTGCATCGAGCAGGGTGGATAGGGGTTTGGATGCTACTGCTCAGGTCTTCTTCCCCCTTCTTGCGCTTTTTCATCCATATCGTCCAGCTCCAAATTTACTTTTATCCCTCAATTTTCAACCCCAAATTCTTGGCTCTCCCTACCTTGCTTTAATAGTCGGTGGTCGTCGAGGCTCAACTCGCACACAGTCGCAGGGCGTCGCTCCGATCCAGTCGACAAGTTCATGTTCAACCAAGCAGACAACGTCATTACATCAGTTTCCCTTTCGAGTTCTGGAGTCTCGCTAAGACTGGTATGCCTCAAGGTACGCACTTTGCTATTTGCAAGCTAGCACACCGACTCCCGCGACGTGTATAGTTTGCGCGCCGGGGTGCGGTTAGAAGAGGAGGAGGGGCGGCCAAGCGATGACTTGGTCGAGAGGAATGAAAACTCTTACTTCGAAACAGGCGTCGGTTCGTCCATCCCGACTATGTGACTGGGATCATAAGGACGATGAACATGTTTGGTTGGACACACCTGCTGATACGGTTTGGAGCCGGCCCTAATGGCGTGAGTTTCTTTGTCCACCCCCTCCCTTTAGGTTTCCCCTTCAATCCCGGTCTCATGCAAAACGCATATAATAGTTAACATCATACTTTCGTAGCGTAATTTTTTAGTCTTATCTTTTTGTATTGCGGCACATTATCTGAGGTGTGTTTCTCATCCTCAGCTAACGTGTATTGTTGGTGGTGATCATGAGTCTCATACTAGGCTTTCTGAACCGCTCGTCAAATTGTTCAGTTTGATGATATAGTCGCAGTAGCTGAAAAAGTAACTGTTCCCACTTTCCCAGATATAGATTCATTATCTGTGCATCTGTGCTACAGACGAGTTATGGCAGTAAGCGGCTATTCACAACCAGCTAGTGGTCGACCGGTTCAGGCACCAAATTTGTAAGCCATAGATCACCAGTTCGAGTCTCTCAACCACGAGAGCTGATGAATACGTGGCAACGAAGCGTCAGTATAGTGTACGGCGTACTGGAGACGCCTGTCTCAATTGCACTGATTAACATTTCAAGAGCCTTTGCGATCCACCAACGTTCTGTACACGAACACGAATGCACTCGTTAGGGTTCAACATTACGCTGATGGGGAGCAGCGAGTGTGTTCGATGGTGCAAGATAGCCAAATTAGAATATAGAACAAAAGACGTTGCATCACTCGTAAAAAGCTCACCTTAGTTGCAGCTAATGCGATGGTAGTGATTTGTGACCGATCACCCCATTCGGCCAAAAACGTTAAAATGAAAGACTCCAAGAGAATTGGGGAAAAAATACGTTGCAAATCTTCTCGTATCCTCGACCTCAGTGATGAACGATCGGAGGATCTGGAGGCTCTTCCTGTTTCCAAATCAACCGGAGATTGAGAGAGTTGTAATTTAACCTCATCATAGTCTTCCTGAACGCACATTGGAGACATTCTGTAAGCTAAAATCGGTCATTTCGAACAGAATACGGATTACCATCGTATAGCATTTTTACCCCAAAGACTAGAAAAAGTACGCCAGAACAGTAGAACGTAAACACCCGTGGAATGATATTCGTAGCGTAACCAAGGATAGCTGAGAAATCTGTCACAAGTGACAAAATCCGAAAATACCTGAAAGCACTGTCATCGTCGCAAGAGCACTCATTGCGCCGGCGTACACCGAGCATCTGGAGTGTTGCATTGACATAACAGCAGCAATAAAGAAGGTTTTATCCCCTAATTCCGAAATGATAATGACGTAGAGGGAGGCAAGTAGACCGCCAATAAAGTTGTCCAACGATAAGGAAGTTTGGGAATCAATTGTAGTCCTTCCTGCAGCATCCACAGGCGGATTTACATTCACAGACCCAGCGACTCGCAGGAATAGCATCAGGAAAAAAGACAAACATAAAGGGAATGAAAGGGCCATAGTGCCCACTTGAAGAAAATTGAAGACCTCAACACTGCCAATTCAGAGTGCGTCTAAAATAGTAAACAGAATGAGTAGTGACTCTAACAGAAAGAACATAAACAGCGGGATGGCCGCCGAAAGTTCACCAGAGGCAATCAGTAGGTGTGGCTGAGAACAACCAAAATGGTATTCGACAGTTCACAGTATGGAGCATCTGGTAAAATAATAATAATAAGAAAGTGTCAGCTGTACGCCATAACGGCGCTTCGCTGCCGCGCGACCACCACCAGTCGCGCGCGGGCTGAGTATACCGCGAGTACGTCCACCCATACGCGGATTCGAACCGGTGACCTTATGGTTGTAAAGCAAACGTGCATCTGGTACAAAAGGTTGTTATGCAGGGGCTGTGAGCATCGGCTTTTGAAACCAACCAAAGCGGTCATAATAGCGACAACCAAAGAGGTCGCCAACGCTCAGCATCGGGAATGACAGGAGAGGAATTCAGGCGATGGCTAAGATTCCTCTGACTTGCTCTATATTACACTACCCATCATTACATTGTACTTAGGCAAAAGGTTTTTTTCAAGCCAAAGAAACGGCTATTAGACAACACATGAATCGCTTGTCATATAAAGCAAAGAAATAGAATAAGTGCACTAGTCGCCAAAAAACCATGGTTGGCGATCACACCACTGTGGTGTTTGTAGTAATTCCTTACTGCACTAACTGTAAAAACTGCGTATGGTGCTGGATGTTGGTGATTAAGAGCTATTATGATGCTAAGCAGCAAAATCAGAGGAGTGGCTACCTCGCCGAAAAAGTAATCCTAGCATGGGATCTTCTGACCGTACAGTGTTGGCAACGTGTAAGCGCCCTGATCCCAAAGGTTTGCACAGGATGTTCAGATCCACATTAAGTCCTCTGCTTCTTACTCTACCAGTAGTATTGTGCTGTTGCAGAGAATTATGAAAGATTAAAGAAATGGTCCGAGTAGTCAGTATCAATGTGGACATTTTCCAGTAGGAACCTGGAGTGAGCGTGAAAAACATTTGTCAATTGAACAACCATACCTGAACTTTAGATTGGTCGAAAGGAGAGTTGTGTGCCTAAGAGATAAACATTAGACTTTAATTGTGACCCTAAGGACAGCAACCGCAAGAGCATATGTGCCGAGGTCAAGGTGTTAAAGGCACGGAACGAGTCAACATCAGAAAGATTAGCTGGAAGTGTGAATTATGTAGACTATTGTGCAGTGAAACAAGGCAATTACATAATTGTAAAATAAAAAGACAAAAGCAACTGAAAAACAAAGAAACACTTCAAAAAGGTTTGAAAATCTTCAGTTGGTTTAGCCCAATTGCGGTGAAGAAGCATCAAGAAAGCAACCTCAGACTCAGCATGGTTGGCGGCATCCGGTTTCGGATTTGCCTGTCACTGTGGCCAGCCACAGGACGCCTGCGCCTACAGAGGGACCATGGATGGCTTGCGCTGCACCACCCACAGCTCCATCCACACCCCCCATATCCAGTGTAAACCCGAAGGAATAAGACCGGGAGGCATGCGGATGGGAGTCACGTTTCATCAACAGAACCGGCCCACACTCCCTCAACAAGCAGAACGGAAGCATTCCGGCCTAATTGGGAAATCATACACACCAGACGTACACGAGGAGGTGGCTGGACCGTAGCCCGTTTCACACAGGTTGCATGGAACCACTCTTTAAGCCTAGCACTGTCACGAGGACGGTGCACTCCGTCCCCTCTAGCGACGACCAACTGTCTCCTGGAGCCAGTATGGACGAGGTAGTGGGTAATAGACAGGTAGGCACCTTGTCAACATTCACATCAGGCGCATCCACACCGGGGAGCTCAAGCAAAATCTACTTCTGAAATGCAAGATTACTCATCACGCAGGCAAACGTACCACATACGCCACCTTATTGGCCTGGATTAGTAAAATGAATGGGAACATACTCATGGTGCTTCTATTCCGCATACAATAGTGCCGTCTCCCACACCTGAGAAACCGCCCTTTTGAGCAGTCCACGGAACTCGCATCGATCAAATTTGCCTTGGGTTCGCCACATGGTTGGCGGCATCCGGTTTCGGATTTGCCTGTCACTGTGGCCAGCCACAGGACGCCTGCACCTACAGAGGGACCCTGGGTGGCTTGCGCTGCACCACCCACAGCTCCATCCACACACCCCATATCCAGTGTAAACCCGAAGGAATAAGACCGGGAGGCATGCGGATGGGAGCCACGTTTCATCAACGGAGCCGGCCCACACTCCTTCACAGGCAAACACAAGCACACTCTATTTGGGAATCAAGCGCACATAAGGCAGTGGCTGGACCGCAGTCCGCTCCACACTGACTGCATGGAACCACTCTTCGAGCCTAGCACGACCACAAGGACCGTGCACCTCGTCCTCTCCAGCAACGACCAAATGTCTCCTGGAGCCAGTATGGACGAGGTAGTGGGTAATGGACAGGTGGGCACCTTGTCAACATACAAATCAAGCGCAGCCACACCTGGGATGTCAAACAACAGCCAATCATTCGAAATGCCGAGATCGATTAAAGTAAACGCATATGACGACATAAATACTCGTTAAATGAGCATATAGAAGAAATTGATTATAAGTGATTCCGTGATAAGTACAAAATGTCCGAAAGTTAGTTAAAAATAACGCGATAAAATTACCCAAGTTTGCCACAATTTGCGTGAGCGACGTGTGCAAGTAAGGAGAAGATTATCAAGTACGCAGAACAAACCAAATAAGAGGTAATGAATTTTATCCACATTAAAAAGACCTAGTTTAAGTGTAAGTTGTTTTAGCCCAACTGCGGTGAAGAAGCATCATGAATGCGACATCAGTCTCAGCAAGGGGCACAATGAAGCGCAATATATATATATATATATATATATATATATATATATATATATATATATATATACATGGCAAATGATTCTTTCTCGACCTGGCTGTAATTCCTCTCAGCCTTCGTAAGTGTTCTGGCGGCATGGGCGATTTCTTTATGAGATCGATCGGTGTATGTGTATAAAATTACCCGCCAATCCCATGGGTTGACACATCTGCGGTTAGGACAATCTCTTTGGAGGGATCAAAATGAGTCAAAAGCAATTCTGAGGACAACAATGTCTTGACCCGTTGGAAGGTATTCTGGCATTCAGATGTCCAGTTTCAAGTTTGGCCTTAGGCTAGTAGCTTGTTTAACGGGCCACGTAGGCGGGCATCTCAGGCAAGAATGCGCTATAGTGACTGATGAGCCCACAAAAGGAACACAAAGACTGTCGATCTGTTGGTGGATGCATTTTGCTAATGGCTTCTACGTTTACCCGATCTGGTCGACGTCCATCCGTTTCAAGGATAAAGCCGAGGTCTTTGATGATAGGCGTGAAAAATGTGCATTTATCCTCACGGATCCGGAAACCGTGCAACTGTATACAACCAAGCACTTCATCCAAGCGGTTAAATAGCTTTCCCGGTGTTCGACTCATCACTATGATATCATGCAGATATGCAGCGGCTCCAGAAACGCTCGCTAGCATGGTATCCTGTTGGAAAATGGCTGGCGCCGTTTTCACACCAAAGGGCAAGCAGCCGTATTTGAATAGCTCATGATGAGTGTTGATCGTCAACAACTCACTCGAGACTTCGTCAACATCCGCTTGAAGGTAGACATCAGATAGATCAAGATTAGCCAAGCACTTACCACCATTCAGTTTAGCAGAGATATCTTCCGGTACTGGTAATGGGTACCGATGGTCGTCCAGCACGGCGTTAAGGAAAGTTGAGAAGTCAGCGCTGACGCGTACCTTGTTATTTGCCTTCTTCACTGCGACAATAGGAGAGGCCCATGATGAGTAGTTGACAGCTGTGATGACTCCGGCACGGTGCAGTCGATGAAGTTCTTGAGCAACGGCTGACATGGCTGCATATGGTACCGGTCTTTTAGCCTTGAACCCTGCTTTAGCACCTGGTCGCTAGCTCAGCGTTGCCTTGAATTTCGTACAATGGCTGTCGACGGTTGTCTTCGCACAAGGTGAGAAGTCTCTCTCCGTTATCAGAGCGGTTCTCATCGAGCGCGTGATGACCACCAAGGTGGCGTTCGTATGGTAGCAGGCGGCCAACCCGTGCATTAAAATCCCGAGCAAGGATAACGAGATCCGACTTTTTAGCATTAGTCAAAAGCTGATGTAGATCTCGGTAGAATTCGTCCTTGACCGGGTCGCCACTGCAGTCAGTTGGAGCGTACACGGAGAGCACAAACAAGTTGTGTCTCTCTTCGCGGTGCCTGCTGATTCCACATGAACACCGAGGCTGAACTGCCCATAGTCGGCTGTTAATAGGGAACCAGTCCAGTACTGCCGCCTCGGCCTTGCCACTTAGTGCTATATCTACGCCAGCCAAACTCGCTGAGGCTGCTTCTGGATCTCCAGAAAGACGCAGGTGATATCTGGCTTCGTGGTCAGTGGGGGATGTCAATGTAAGCACAGTGCTGGGATCTAGCAATCGGGTTTCTGAAAGGCAGTAGACATCAATGTCAAGGGAATCTAGGGTGCGCGCTAGACAGATAGTGGTAGTTTCTTTTGTGAATTTCTGCAGCTCCACTTGAGAATAAGCATGGATTAGATCAGGTTTCGAGAAGTTTCGTCCACCGGACAAAGTTGCGTATATGTTATCTATCCGCGGAATCGAACAACGTTCCGTCCTCGTCACTTGATCAACCCTCAGTTTAAGGTCGCCAAAAATGTGAACTGAGCCATCAGGCTTCGGTACAGGAACTAGGGGTGCATCCCAGGAAGAGTGGCATAAGGGTGCAATTATTCCGTCCTTTTGTAAGCGCTCCAACTCGCACTTCGGGCGGATTTCGAAAAATACACTTCGCGCCTTATAAAATTTTGATTGATTCTGTGGTTTGATATTCAAGCAAGCTTTGAAATCACGTAATTTCCCAGGTATGTTTATATCGAAAACACTGGCAAAAGCTTTCAAGAGTGTAGGTAAGTCAGTAATACTGTCCACCTTCTTGACAGATGAAATATTC